TCCAGTTCTCAAAGGTAGAGCAACTTAAATAGGCCTGGGAGAAGATGAGGGAGAAGTCCCCACTTATAACCCAACTGTTTTCCCAATACTTTGAGAGCGCATTCAGCCAGATACTCTAACAGAGTTTTATCAGCCCCTCTCCTTACTCATTTTTTTTTCTTTCTGAATCTCAGCAATTGTAAGAAAAACTTCTGTTCCATAGCATTTGCTTCTGTTCTCCACCTCCCTTCTCTTTTTAACAACTATCTTTTTATAAATATTTCCCAAAGGGTACCAGTTGAAAACATAAGAAACTGGGACAGTTCTGAGATGATGACTTCAACTAAAGAAAGCTGCAGGATATGTCAGTGAAACTGTAAGATTCAGGATATATTTTGGAGAAAGCCAAGAGGACTTACTGACACATTGGATGTTAAGAGGTAAGGGAAGCCAGATACAGTGGCTCACACCTGTAATTCCAGAGACTCAGAAGGCTGAGGCAGGAGGATCCCAAGTTTGAGACCACCAGCCTGGGCTATTTAGCAAGACTCTGTCTCAAAAATAAATAAAGTAAAAAGGGCTGGGAATATAGCTCAATTGTATGAAGAGTGCCCTTGGGTTTAATCCCCAGAACCACAAAAGAAATAAAGAAAAAAAAATCTGCTTTGAGAGAACCAAATTAATTATGCAATGACTTAGAAGAAATCTCAAGATAAGTTATCCTCAAATGATCCAAACATTGATTTGGTAACAGTGAATTCAGTTTTTTTAAATTTATTTTTTATTCTAATTTGCTATATATGACAGCAGAATGAATTGTAATTCATATTACACTTATAGAGCACAATTTTTCATATCTCTGGTTGTACAAAGTATTTTCACACCATTTGTATCTTCATACATGTACTCAGGGTAATGATGTCCATCTCATTCCACCATCTTTTTATAACCCCCATTCTCCCTCCCTTCCCCCTCTCACCCCTTTCCCTATCTAGAGTTTGTCTAATCCTCCCATGTTCTCCCAGTGAATTCAGTCTTTTAAAAGGAGAAATTTATTTCCCTTAAATTGTTATGTTACCCTGCCTGGATACAGGCATTGTGCAGAAACATAAGCATGCTATTGTAGGCACTCAATGGATTTTTTTTTTTTTAAATTTTTTATTGTTGGCTGTTCAAAACATTACATAGTTCTTGATATATCATATTTCACAATTTGATTCAAGTGGGTTATGAGCTCCCATTTTTACCCCATATACAGATTGCAGAATCACATCAGTTACACATCCATTGATTTACATATTGCCATACTAGTGTCTGTTGTATTCTGCTGCCTTTCCTATCCTCTACTATCCCCCCTCCCCTCCCCTCCCCTCCCCTCTTCTCTCTCTGCTCCCTCTACTGACATTCGTTTGTCCCCCTTATATTATTTTTCCCCTTCCCCTCACTTCCTCTTGTATGTACTTTTGTATAACTCTGAGGGTCTCCTTCCATTTCCATGCATTTTCCCTTCTCTCTCCCTTTCCCTCCCACCTCTCATCCCTGTTTAATGTTAATCTTCTTCTCATGCTCTTCGACCCTACTCTGTTCTTAGCTACTCTCCTTATATCAAAGAAGACATTTGGCATTTGTTTTTTAGGGATTGGCTAGCTTCACTTAGCATAATCTGCTCTAATGCCATCCATTTCCCTGTAAATTCTATGATTTTGTCATTTTTTAATGCAGAGTAATACTCCATTGTGTATAAATGCCACATTTTTTTTATCCATTCATCCATTGAAGGGCATCTAGGTTGGTTCCACAGACTAGCTATTGTGAATTGTGCTGCTATGAACATTGATGTAGCAGTGTCCCTGTAGCATGCTCTTTTTAGGTCTTTAGGGAATAGACCGAGAAGGGGGATAGCTGGGTCAAATGGTGGCTCCATTCCCAGCTTTCCAAGAAATCTCCATACTACTTTCCAAATTGGCTGCACCAATTTGCAGTCCCACCAGCAATGTACAAGTGTACCCTTTTCCCCACATCCTCGCCAGCACTTGTTGTTGTTTGACTTCATAATGGCTGCCAATCTTACTGGAGTGAGATGGTATCTTAGGGTGGTTTTGATTTGCATTTCTCTGACTGCTAGAGATGGTGAGCATTTTTTCATGTACTTGTTGATTGATTGTATGTCCTCCTCTGAGAAGTGTCTGTTCAGGTCCTTGGCCCATTTGTTGATTGGGTTGTTTGTTCTCTTATTGTCTAATTTTTTGAGTTCTTTGTATACTCTGGATATTAGGGCTCTATCTGAAGTGTGAAGAGTAAAGATTTGTTCCCAGGATGTAGGCTCTCTATTTACCTCTCTTATTGTATCTTTTGCTGAGAAAAAACTTTTTAGTTTGAGTAAGTCCCATTTGTTGATTCTAGTTATTAACTTTTGTGCTATGGGTGTCCTATTGAGGAATTTGGAGCCCGACCCCACAGTATGTAGATCGTAGCCAACTTTTTCTTCTATCAGACGGCGTGTCTCTGATTTGATATCAAGCTCCTTGATCCATTTTGAATTCACTTTTGTGCATGGCGAGAGAAAGGGATTCAGTTTCATTTTGTTGCATATGGATTTCCAGTTTTCCCAGCACCATTTGTTGAAGATGCTATCCTTCCTCCATTGCATGCTTCTAGCCCCTTTATCAAATATAAGGTAGTTGTAGTTTTGTGGATTGGTTTCTGTGTCCTCTATTCTGTACCATTGGTCCACCCGCCTGTTTTGGTACCAGTACCATGCTGTTTTTGTTACTATTGCTCTGTAGTATAGTTTGAAGTCTGGTATCGCTATACCGCCTGATTCACACTTCCTGCTTAGCATTGTTTTTGCTATTCTGGGTCTTTTGTTTTTCCATATGAATTTCATGATTGCTTTCTCTATTTCTACAAGAAATGCCGTTGGGATTTTGATTGGCATTGCATTAAACCTATAGAGAACTTTTGGTAATATCGCCATTTTGATGATGTTAGTTCTGCCTATCCATGAACAGGGTATATTTTTCCATCTTCTAAGATCTTCTTCTATTTCTCTCTTTAGGGTTCTGTAGTTTTCATTGTATAAGTCTTTCACCTCTTTTGTTAGGTTGATTCCCAAGTATTTTATTTTTTTTGAAGATATTGTGAATGGAGTGGTTGTCCTCATTTCCATTTCAGAGGATTTGTCGCTGATATACAGGAATGCCTTTGATTTATGCATGTTGATTTTATATCCTGCCACTTTGCTGAATTCATTTATTAGCTCTAATAGTTTCTTTGTAGACCCTTTTGGGTCTGCTAGGTATAGAATCATGTCATCTGCAAATAGTGATAATTTAAGTTCTTCTTTTCCTATTTTGATGCCTTTAATTTCTTTCATCTGTCTAATTCCTCTGGCCAGTGTTTCGAGAACTATGTTGAACAGAAGTGGTGAGAGAGGGCATCCCTGTCTTGTTCCAGATTTTAGAGGGAATGCCTTCAATTTTTCTCCATTCAGAATGATGCTAGCCTGAGGCTTAGCATAGATTGCTTTTACAATATTGAGGTATGTTCCTGTTATCCCTAGTTTTTCTAGAATTTTGAACATAAAGGGATGCTGTACTTTGTCAAATGCTTTTTCCGCATCTATCGAGATGATCATACGATTCTTATTTTTAAGTCTATTGATGTGGTGAATAACATTTATTGATTTCCGTATATTGAACCAGCCTTGCATCCCAGGGATGAATCCTACTTGATCATGGTGCACAATTTTTTTGATAAGTTTTTGTATCCGAGTGGCCAGAATTTTATTGAGGATTTTTGCATCTAGGTTCATTAGAGATATTGGTCTGTAGTTTTCTTTCTTTGAAGTGTCTTAAATTGATGCTAATTCGAGTTGCACATACATGATGCCAAATACTATCCTTTTTCTTTCTCCTTTTTTTTTCTCTTAATATGGGATAGTTAAGTAAACAAAGAGAAAGCATAGTAACTTTCTTATTTTTATTAAGCGTGGTCATTTATAGACAATTATCAATCCTGTGCTTTAAAATTTTAAATCAGGGGCTGGGGATGTGGCTCAAGTGGTAGCGCGCTCGCCCAGCATGCATGAGGCACTGGGTTTGATTCTCAGCACCATATAAAAATAAAATAAAGATATTGTGTTCACCTAAAACTTAAAAAAAATAAATATTTAAAAAATTTTTCAAATAAAATAATTATCTTGTAAAAAAACAATTTAAACACAACCAACACCAAACCCTATGGAGAGTGTTTCAAGGCTACAATCTTGATGGATAGGTAAAAAGGCAGAATGTATTCCAAGGAACAATGAATCAGCCTCTGACATGATTTTTGTTTCACAAACCTCTTTTTTAAGAACAATGAACCTCTTCAGGGAAGAATAAAACACTAAAATAAATAAATAAATTCATAAAAATGAAAAAAATGAACTCATTTATTCATTGTGTTCTTTTGAATTTTCACTTAACTTTCTAAACTCTTTGAATTACCACACCAAATATATACATATGTATATAATATATATCAATACAAATGGAAATAAACCTCCATTTTAAATGCTATCTGGAAACACTTTAACATATATTACATATCAGAATGAAGTAACACAAAGAAACTTTTTTAAACATAGGATTCCTCTCTAAAGCTGAAATGTGAGGCAGACAGACGTGTTACTTTCAAGCAGATGGAATCCCAGAATATTTTCAGGATACATAAATCTGAATTTTGTTTTCTGCTTTATGTCTGAGGCAGCTAACCAATCAACTGATGGTTAAGATTTCTGTACTCATTGTTTTTCCAATTTTCCCCTTTCTAAAATTTAAACTAAACAATTCAGTGTATTTTTTGTAGTCCTACGGATGAACATTACAGAATGGGTATGACTTTTATAACTTGCTGTGATTGTAATCTTTTGTGTGTGTATATAATGCCCATTGTTTTATCAAGACATATTCAATAATAAATGATACCAATTCATGGAATCCAACATATGCATTCTGACATAAAAAACAAAACACAAATTGCCACTAATAAAATTAGTTTATTTTATCTTAAAGTTTTCCAAAAATACACTTGTAAATTTACCCACATACTTGGATAAAGATAACCTTTACAAAGACATTAAAATTTTGTAAATTATTCTCTTTTAGCTGTTAAAGTACACAGAGTAGAAGGTGTTATAAAAGAGAAAATATTAAGTCATGGTCAATGCTTGAAAGGCACTAATACACATTAAATCTTCAGAATACTACTAAAATATTAAATTTTAAAGATATTTAAGGAAAAAAGCTGTGCCTTCCTTTCAGAAAGCTTTAATTGCAAATGATGTTTACTAAGACATATTATATACTGCATACCACAATAACAATGAATGATCTTCTCAAATTTTACCTAATTGCTTTACAGATGAATCAATCTATACAGGAGAAAACACAGGAAATTGCTTTTAAATATATATATATTATATATATATATAATATATATATTTATTATATATATATTATATATATAATATATATATTTAATATATATATATAATATATATATAAGCTCCCCAATTTTCGTGATATTAAAGAAAATTTAGCCCATTCCAATTAAAAAGTAAAATTTACTTGTATTTAATATTAGAATAATATATTTTAATAATATAAAATTTCAAGCATTTACCAAAAATACAAACCGTGTTATTACAAAAAAAGAAAGAATGAAAACATATTTATCTAACCATCATTTTATAGGAATTAGAATATTTACATACTTTATAATACTGTAGAAATCTTTGGTGGTGACATATGAAATAAGATCCCTGAAAACTCACTGATAATTTTGTTCCATCAAACAGTGTAGTCAAGTATTTATAATAAGTAATGGTGGCAGTATTATTTTTTAGCCAAATATGCATACACAGTGAGGTGTGTGGTGGGGATCTTATGTCAGACTTGGGTGGGCTTATATTATTACTTAGCCTGATAGGCAACACCAGAAACAATACCCTAAAGAACAGATCAGTTCTTACTTCTAAAGAAACTTTTGAAACAGTTAAGTACTAGTGAGCAAACTGAATGAACAAATAGTAAAATAAGATACTGGCTATAATTTCTGAATAAATTCCAACAGCTACCAAAACACTTAATATCTAGGCCTCAACGGGCAGTGGAGAAAAGCAAGGCACTGTGGTCTAAGGATAAATTTACATTTAAAAAAAATCAGTAAACTTAAAAGGAGAGAGAGAGAGCGAGCGAGCCCTATTCTACCTTAAAAGAAATAAAAATGTGTAAGTTTATTTCACAAAGATCAAAAAAGGAATGCTAAAACACATTAAGGTGACAGAAACTCTAAGAAATGTAAAATGAAACGAAAATGATAGGAAATAAAAAAGGTATCAACTATGTGTAAGATACAACAGTAGAAATATATCAGAGGAAGGACTGTGAACATGAAGGAGTGTAATTAAACAGAAGAACTTTGCATTAGTGAGACAGGTATCTTTGATGAAGCATTTTGACCCTACAAGATAAATAATTCTTTCAATTTAAAATAGTATGAGTTTACTAAAGGATGGTGCTTTTTTGTTGTTGTGGTAGTACTTATTCTTTTTTAATTTTTATTTTATGGTGCTGGGGATTGAACCCAAGAGCCTTGTACATGCTATGCATGTGCTCTACCACCAGGAAAAGTGTAATACTGAGATTAGATTTAAAAAAGGTAAAATGGCACCAACCAGCCCCCATAGATAATGTTCTTGATACAAAGTCACTTACATGACCTTATCAGGCGATTTGAGATGACATTGCCTCTGCCTAGGAAGAGCAAGCACAGTGTAGCATTTATATTAAGAAGTCCAGTATAATTAGAATTCATAGGGATTTTGAAAAGGAATTAAGAGTCCTTCCAGAAACTAAGAGGCTAAAAATTACTCAAGGTAAAGATGGAGGTGTTCACAAAGTTAAATTTTGGGAGGAAAAAAAATTGAAGTTTTATTTGGTGTGAATGTGAGATAGTCCAGAAAATATTAAATACTAATATGGATGCAACATATTAGTTGCATCCATATTAGTCTTTAATATTACTTAAATATACCTTACTCAAGGTACTCCTGAGTAAACATAGAATTCTTGGCTAATACTCTGAGGAGATCCTGAATGTATATCACCAACTGGCTTCCTTTCTTAAAAGGTAGAAAGGTCAATGATCTTACAAATCTCTCCCTCTGTGTTCTCTTGGGCAAATAAGCAAAACAGTCAAGTAAATTAGCTTGTACAATTGGATTACTGATCACTAAAACCATCGCCAAAAATATACTGACTTAGAGATCACAATACATACTTATCAATTCGACCTAAAAAAGCCTCCAAAATCTTTTGGATTAAAACATTTTTTAAAATAACTTCTGATATACAGGATTAATGGTGTCTGAATTTGTATCGGCACTCATCTTCAGGGAATTATCTCAGCCAGAAAAATATTCAAATGATTTGAGTCAATGCCAGATTTATAAACCAGCAGCACATATTAATGCCAAGCTTGTGAATGGATTGGCTGTTGGATTATTTTATGAATCAGAAGAGATCTAAGTACTATACTAATCTCCAACTCTATTTCACAAAAGCTACCATTTTTAAAAGCTGAAAATGTAATTGGTGTTGACAAAAATATACTAAGTTCAACTACACTGTACAGCTAATTATGGAAAACTGGTTAATATTTAAAATAACTTTTCATTTGTAAAGGAAATAATTAAAATAGTAATAATTGAACAATTAGTTATATTTTTATATTATAAATCCAATGAATTTAACAAATGAAACTCACAGAAAGGAGATGATGTATTTCAAGGTATAAATTTGCCATGTCAGAATAAGACAAATAAGCATACAGTGTCAACAAAATTTAAAGTAATGTACAGTTGTAAAATAAGTAAACATTTTTCAAGTGTGCAAAACTAGTCAGGAAAGTGCTACGTGGATACCTGGTTTTCAAATATTTGTTTCAAAAAATTTCAGTTAATGGTGGAAAAACGAGAAAGTATTATAAAAGTAAAAATTAAAGGAATATACAAAATATACCTTATTATCTTACATTATGTCCTTGTTATATCATTGCCTGATCAGAGGCCTATTTATTTACTATCCTCATGTGATAGAGATCACATAGATAAAGGTAAACACAATGTTTAACACCACAAAAGTTAGTGTATCCTGAACCATAAAGAATCTTTTCAAGTATAGTGTGGGTCTGTGTTTCATCTAATATCCCAGGCATTCAGTGTTGTTGATGAATGTGAAAATGGATAACATGCTTTTCTGTAGTTTTTGATGTACATATATTAGTAGGCCTTGCATAACTACCTTTTGTAGTCAATATTTGAAAGTAATTGTTAAAGAAATAAAGCTATGTAAATTCATGAAAGTAATTCCTATCACTACCACAATTTCAAGAACTATTTTAATATGTAAATCCTGAATATATCATATTAGAAAATGAAGTTGATCTATTAGCATTATTTAGGATATCTGAAGTATAGATGACTAAAAATACACCTGTGGTCTCTTCTTCACTTTATATTTTAGTGAACCATACCGCACCTGAAGAGAGAAATGTGTTATTAAGAATTTGACTGATTATTTTTAAAAATAAGACAAGATTTAACAGTTCACAATCATAGGAATTTTTAACTTTCTGATACAAAGAATAAATTATCTTGTAAGCATGTATAGAACAGCACTTCTTATTTACTCATAAAACATTCACTGTTATTATACTTTTACTATTTATTCACCATGTAGGGTTGGTTGAAAGCAAAAATATGTAGTTAATTTTTTTCAGTAGCACAAGGCTGGCACTGGGTATTCATGATAACCATGTGACGTGCTGTGTGGGAATACCATTTTCTACTTATACTGGAAGACTAGGAATTTACCACTTTTAAAATTCCCAGAAAAAAAAATTTCCAGAGAATTTAATATACAACTGCTGCTCTATCATTCCAACTCTTCATTTATGGATCATTAATACCCTAAATGATAATGCAGCAGGGAAACCCCCAAACCCCAATCATTAGAAAAACAACTCTACACTTGACTAACCTCCTTGCGGCCTTTGATGGTTTTCACAGATTTCATGCTTTGTGATCTCCGAAGCCCTTTGTGTGTTAACATCTCATCATCTGAATATGGCCCATCCGCTTCTTCATCTGTTTTTTCACCTCCATCTTTTAGTGGAATTCCATAAGCTAAACAAGTTGTCAAAAACAGCATGTTTTGGTAAAAGGATACCAGTCAGCACTGGCTCACCTGTGGACGTTCTCTGCATATTCTGCATTTGCTCAGTTCCCTTTCTCTCTCATTTGGAATGTGTTCCTGCCCCTTGCCATTAATCTTTGCCTTCTGCACTATTCTAGAAGATCATAACTCATTTCCTCTAGGATTCCCTGACCATTCTTATTTTTAATATACATTTTTTAAATTATTTTTGAGCAGTGACACGTGCATCCTGTTAAACAACCAGAGACTATAATGAGACATATTGTGAAGTATCTTCTCACCTTTTCTCTTTTTCATAAATTCAAGAAAACCCCAAGCATTGGTGTGTTTCAGTTTGTCATGTGTGCCTTGACTTTTAACAATTAAGATTCCCTCACCCCACATAATCTCTTTTGTGAAGACTGGGAATGGTAAGGTGAACCAAGAAGACCCAAAGGGGCTACAAATTTTGGCAAGGTAAGTTCAATGGGGACAGGTGATGGGGAGGTTAGACCAACCCTGTTGCACTGAGATAAAACCCAGCCAGACAGGCAACAGTAATTAGAAACACCACAGGCTAAGATGACAGATGTTAGTCAAGAGAAAACAACCAGTATCAGGAAGGTCAGTGAGAGAGCACATGGTGGGTGTGCTAATAGGCTGTTATGTGTAACTATAAAGACTTAACTATTAGCCACATGCAAACATCCAGATAATTAGGTCAGTATTGTGAGGAAGTCTGAGAATATCCTGAGGAGCAAGAACTTTATCACCCCTGAAGCACAAGTTCACATTAAGAGATACCAGGAAAACTTATCAATACAGACTGCTTGAAATTCAACAGGCCTGGGATGGCGCTTAGATCTTTGGCTCTAACAAGTATCCCGGTGATGTTTATGCTAATGACCCTGTTTTCTGAGGGTCCTGGACAGAGAACCAGGCAAGGGCCAATCTAAGGCAGTCAGACCACTGGGTGGGTAGGTTATATAGATAGAGCTGGCATTAAAAGGCCCCATGAAGTTTCAAATTCTTCTTTAATAAAGATAAGAAGCATACATACTTAAATCATCAGGTGAGGAAAAAGTAGAAAGGTTTCCGGGCTTAGGAGGAGGCAAGAGATAGACTCCTTGCATGTGAAAAAATATATACTGAAAAAATAATGTGAACTCACTAAGAAAACCACAAAGAGTTGCTAATATGCTTCTTACTCTGATACGTAAACTACTTTAACTGTATGTTAGACAAGTCTGATTTTATGCTGTTAGATGTCTAGGCTAAAAATTAAGGAGGAGTTGAAAGCAGAATTGGTTGTCATTTAGGCCAAGATCTTTCTTTTCCTGCAGTGTTCAAAAGAAGTGTGTTCTGGGAAGAAGAGACTATATAAGCCCAGGGCTAGGGCAGCAGAGGAGTAAAACTGCTTGGAAGGAGGAAGCCAGTGTGCCCAGGTCAGCGCCTGGGGTCACAGGCCTGTGAGAATGTTCCTGATGCAGTAGTAAGTGGGAAAAATTGCACACATATAAACAAAGGAAAAAAATAAAAATAATATCATCATATCTCATGGAAGTTGACTTGTAGATAATTCTAAACTTCATTTTTCCTTTAATTTGCAAAGTATTTATTTTAAAATTATACTTCTATAACTGAGGAAAACAAACCCGAAAAAATTGTTTTTAGGCTGTCATCTCTAGATTATTTATTACTAAGGGGCTGAGGATAGAACCCTGAGCCTCCCACAGGCTAGACAAATACTTTGGTCACTCAGCTATATTCCCAATCTGGATTATTCTTCTACTGCTGTGCTTACATAATATTCCCAATTCCAGTACGGTAAAACACAATAAGGAGTCAAGGAGAGTCAGAAAGTTCTCTAAGGTCACGGATGTGGCATATAACTACAGTTCAATAAACAGTTCTTGCCATTTTAGTTGCCTCTTATCTTATATGATTAATATTTGGAATGTCATTCAAAAGGTGATTATACAACATATTCTTTCCTTCTTTTCTAATTTCAGCTAAAAAAATCTTACTGACTTTCTAATTATAGTCTCAGGAAAAGAGATGGTTTGACTTGTTATTCCACAATATTGTTTAAATTCTATTATGTATGAGTCATGTACTAAAGTATGGGGATACAATGATGAAAAGACACAGCTGCCTTTTTCTCCCCTCAAGAAACTTATAGTCCAACAGGGGAAACAGGGTCAAATGGGCATTACGATACTGTAATAATTGCTATAAATAGAAAATAAGGACAAGGTGCCAGGGAGTAAGGAGAATTCACTCAGCCTGGGTTCACTCAGGTTCAAGAGAAGACCTTTAGGAGACAGTGGCTAAGCTAAATCCTGAAGAGCTCATGATTCCACACAGTTAGGGCATGATGGAGTGGGAGAATAAGATTGGGAGCTAATATACCATGCTATCAAATTTGCACTTCACCAAAAAGAAATGGGGCGGGGGGGGGGGGGCTTGGAAGTATTTTATGCATAAGACTAGCATGATATCTGGGTTGTGTAAAAAACTGCACTTTGGAGAATGAATCAAAATGGATAGGCTGGGCATGGTGGCTCATGCCTGTAATCCCAGTGGCTGGAGCGTTAGAGGCAGGAAGAGCTCAAGTTCAAAGCCAGCCTCAGCAATTTAGCGAGGCGCTGATCAACTCTATGAGACCCTGTCTCTAATAAAATACAAAATAGGGCTGGGGATATGGCTCAGTGGTTGAGTGCCCCTGAATTCAATTCCCGATTACTCCCACCACCCCTAAAATGGATAAGACTGAAAACAGGGAGCCTAAGCAGGCAGGTCTGAACTGACATAGTCCCAAGAGTGAGGATACAAAAAGTAGTGTAATTCGGGGTCTATTAGGAGGTGAAATTGACAAGTTTAATTTAGTAACCTAATAAAAATCCCAAATGAAGAGAAGGAAGATACTGAGTCAAGCCAAATACTTCATTAAAACATATATATAGGGCTGGGGTTGTGGCTCAGTGTAGAGCACTTGTCTAGCATGTGTGAGGCACTGGGTTCGATTCTCAGCATCACATATAAATAAATAAAGTCCATTGACAATTAAAAAAATATAAAAAAAAACCCCAAAAAACAAATATACAATTCAAAATAACTTTATACATATTAGTCCATTTCAATATCTAACTGTCTCTATAGTATAGGATCAAAACACAATACTGTTTTATTATTAATATTTTCCTTACAATCTGAATATATTTTCATATCAGTAAGTATATATTGACATTATTATTCTTCATGGCTAATAAATTACCTTTTTGTTTAATAATTTTTCTAAGGTATTTGTCAAAAATTTGATTTGTTCTAATACTTGTTATTTAATTTATTTTTGGCAGTACTGAGGATTGAACCCAGGGTCCTACACACGCTTAGGCAAGCAACTCTACCACTAAGCTATATTCACAGTCCTCTAATATTTGTTATTTTAAATGAGATGAACTTTATTTTTTTATTTTGTCAGTACTGGCTAGGGCCAGGTATGGGAGGCAAGCTCTCTACCAGTGGGCCACATCCCCAGTCCGAGATGAACATTCTCACATATATATCTTTGAACATTTGTCTGATTATTTCCTTATGACGTATTCCTCGAAGTTTCTTGCTGAGTTAAACGGAATGTATTTTGATGATTACTGCCAGATTGTCATCCAAAAGGATTATTCCATTTTAAATTCATACAACATGCACAAGAGTGTTTGCATCTCAACACATTTTCTGTGGTGGTTTTAAAAATACCCATGAATTCCCTGACACTCTTTTTCCCTTCTCTTAAATCCCACAGGCCTTTGTACCTACTTTGACAAATGGCTTCCAAAAATGTGGTGGAAGTCACACTGAAGGACCTCTGCCACTTTCTCTTGGGACTCTGACTCTGGAAACTTCCATTGTCAGGTGAGTTAAACTAAGCTCAGAGATCACAAGAGAGAACATAGAGACAGCTGTTTGCCTCTTCCTGGCTTAGACATGTGTGAGATGATGACTCCAGCCTCAGCTGCTCTCTGATCATAGCTGCATGAGACCCTGAACAAAAACTGCTTTGCTGAGTCCATTCATCCCCCACATGCATGAGCAAAATAAGTGACTGTGATTGTCTGGGCCACTGTTTTGGGGTGGTCTGTTATGCAGCAACAGATAACTGGAACAGTTACCAACATGAAGCAATGTTAATTAAAAGCATTCCTCCCAAATCCAACGAGCAAAAATTACTATTGTTGCTATTTTAATTGAAATTAAAAGCGTTATTTAAATCAAACAGCTGTGATTAAAATAAGTAATACTGACTATCTGAAATTGAAAATATTTTTCATGTATTTGTTGGTCAGTTGTACTCTTTGTAGAACTAATAACTGGTTTGTAAGGGTTCCTGGATTGTCAAAAATCTGAAGCCCCTGAGTACGGTGGTGCACACCTGTAATCCCAATGATTCAGGAGACTGAGGCAGGAAGATCCCAAGTTGAGACCAGCCTCAGCAATTTAGTGAGGCCCTAAGCAACTTAGTGACACTGTCTCAAAAAACAAACAAAAACCCTCAACTCCCCCCGCCAAAACTGGGGTTCTAGCTCAGTGGTAATGCACCCCTGGAGATTACTCAGTGCCCCCACAACACACACACACACACACACACACTCTCTCTCTCTCTCTCTCTCATATAGGTATATATACTTTGCCTGTAAAATACAATGAAAATATTTCTGATAGTTTGTGATTTATCTTTTTCTTTTTTGGTGTATTTCTCCTCTATATGTTGTCATAAATCTGAAGCCTCTGGATACGGTGGTACACACCTGTAATCCCAATGACTCAGGAGACGGAGGTGGGAAGATCCCGAGTTGAGACCAGCCTCAGCAGTTTAGTGAAGCCCTAAGCAACTTAGTGGGACTGTTTTTTTTTTTAAGGTAGAAAAGTCCCTCAAACTTTTCTGTTATGTTTTCTGATTTTGATGTCAGGCTTAAGAAAGTTTACCCATCTAAGAGAACAAAATTATACACAGGAATTTCCTACTACATGGTTTCTTATATTCAAATCTTAATCTTAGGTTTGAGGCAGAGGTATAACTTCAATTTATACCTCAGTTTCTAAGTCTAGCAATTATCTTAACATCATCAGTTATTTTCATATATCTTATGTTATTTTAAGTTCATGGTTTGAAATGTAACAAAAAGAACTAAATAACACCTGTGTATCTTAAAATATTTTAGTCACACAGGGTGTGCATGGTAGTGCACTCCTGTAATCCTAGTAACTCAGAAGGCTGAGGCAGGAGGATAATGCAAGTTTGAGGCCAGCCTGGGCAACTTAATGAGATCCTGTTTCAAAATAAAAAACAAAAATGGCTAGAGATGTAGCTCAGTGGTAGAGTGCCCTAGTACTGCAAAGAAAAAAAATTTAGTCACACCAATTTAAATTTAATAAATGAATATCACATAAATGTTAGCATTTTCATATTTATAATCCCATTTTAATTTAGATAATTGGAGTACAATTCTTAACTCATTCTAAAATATGAAAAAATTGCTGAAAAAGGACTCAAATATATAGTCTAAAGACAAAGCAGAACCCATAATCAAAATCATTATAACTAATTTAAAATGCATAAGCCTGTTCAGAGCTATGTTTTCAGTATTAATACTTAGGTTGATGGCTCAAAGTTCAATGGTTTCTCTTGCTAAAAGGTATCACTATCTTAATCAATGGCTAATGCTTGATTACTAGCTTTTAGATAATAGCCACCAACTTTGTAAAGTTATTCATTCTTGTGAGAACTTGGAAGAAATTTCATTATTTTTCCTTTGTAAGGACAGACTATTGTTTTATTTTTTTCAAAGATTAATTATGAAGAATAACTTTTAATGTCCTTCAAAAAAAACTTCTACTTTTTAAAAGAAAACTTAAATAATCTTGTATCTCATGGACTTAACACTTTAATAGGAAAGTGTAGAAGACCTCAGTTCTCAGGCTTACCTTGAATCAAAATTTTCTTTCTTCTTTTTTTTTTTTTTGGTGCTGGGGATTGAACCCATGGCCTTGTGCTTTTGAGACAAGCACTCTACCAACTGAGCCCTCAGCCCCTCAAACTTTTCTTACGAATGACAAAATGTTGAAGGAACTTTTTTATTTATGTACATGCTTCTAAAAGCACAATAGTTTTTTATAGCTACAGGACACAGCAACTGTAACAATGCTCATAATTCATAGAGAATATGTAAACAAGTTAGCTCCTGAACTAAAAGATGGAATCTCAATACATTTTCCACTGGAGTAATCCTATTTTCAAATTGAATCATCTTTTCATCAGCTTAAACTTTTTATCTTGTGAGTCAACATCCTTGCTTGTCCACAGCACTTATAGGAAAGTGTGCTTAACTCTAAAACTCCTTAGATGTCAGTACATAGTTGGAGTATTGATCACAGGTCAGAATGAGTGCTGGCTGGTGAGGAGGCAACCACACCCATGGCTTCTAAAAATTCTTGGCAACAGAAGAGACTACTGCTATTTTCTTTTTAAAATATTTTTTTTTTATATTTTAGTTGTAGTTAGATATAACACCTTTATTTTATTTATTTATATGTGATGCTGAGGATCGAACCCAGGGCCTTGCATGAGTGCTTTACTGCTGAGCTACAACCCCAGCCCCACTACTGCTATTTTCTTAGCTGCATGATTTCCACAGTCAACGAAAGGCAAAGGATAACATTATTTAGAGAAGTTTGGAGAAAAAGAGCTAAGTTAAACATAAAACTAAAAAATATAAGCTTAAAAGCAAATTTTATTTACCCAATTTCTGACAGTCACTATACTACTATAGTACCCAACTTGACCCACAAGTCCAATTATGAAAGGACCATATAGTAAAACAAATAACACACCTGCTGATTCACTGGGGGTTGGTTTGCTTTTCTTTTTTGCTTCTGGTAAAGGCTGATATGGTCTTTGTCCCACAGGCTCATCACCTTGTATAGCTGTTAAATCATGCATACTGAAACTTCTTAAACGTTCAGTTATGGCTCCTTGGCTCTATTAATAGAGAAGTGATAGATCCAGAAAAAAATACTTTATAAACTATCTAGTATGCTTGCATTTAACAATTTAAACATTAAGACATTTTATTATGAAACATTTTGCTATATTAATAACATCCTCAACCATTTTATTATCAAACTTTAAGAATGAAAGTTGAAAGATTTGTATAATGACCACCACATATTCTTTATATTTTGCTATTTGCTGTATTACATATCAACTATCTATCAATCCCTTTCATTTTTATGCCTTTCAAAGCAAGCTACAGCATTAATATATGTCACCCCAAACATTTCAGGATTATATTTAATTTTATAGTACAAAAAAATGTGTGATGAGATCATCCTCAGAGAAAAAGCATCCATAATTTTGAGTCTTGATTCAGTATTCTGGATTAGTGATACCAAAATTACCATTTTGGGGCAAAGTTTATGATTTATAGGAGATCTTTTCAAAGTAAAGACATTGGTTTAAAGCTAAGCCAAGAGTGGTACTAGCTCTACCTAGAACAAGGCAGGAAAATTTAAGAGCCAAAGAAATTTGGATATATAATGAAATTCAGTTAATGAATACACTATTTGGTGAATATTGTATAGTGATTACTATATGATCTGACTTTAAGTTATTTTGCTTAATAATATGAAAGACACTACACACAGGTGGGAATATTTAAACATAAATGAATAAAAATGAAATAAAATAAAAATTATTCCTTAACTGCATTAGTCACATTCCAAATGCTATAGGTACATGTGGCTAGTAGTTACAGTATTGGGCTGTGCAGATAGAGATGTTTTCCAGAGATGTTCTCTGGAGTGTTTCCATCACTGCAGAAAATTCAATGATTTTCCTCATTGTACAGTTTGAAAGTTACATTTTCTGAACTTTTCATATATAAGTATACCCCCCAATTATAAAGCTTTGTGAAAAGAGAAAATAATTTCTAAATTTACCTACTTTAAATTTGTATAGCATACAGATGACTCATTTCTTATTTATAGTTAGAGTAAAATATTCTTCTGAAGGCTTTTTACACTTATTATTTCTTCTTTTCACACATGAGAATCTATGATTGCCTCTAGTTAGAAAGTTACCATAGAAACTCATGGTTAAGCTCTAAATTTCAAAGTCAAAGGTGGTACATACATTTGGGTGTCACTGCTAACTTGTATTTTACCCTGAAGAAAAGGTCTTGATTCATAACTTTGGGTTATTGATACCATATTATGTCAAAATGAAATCCCATTTACATACCCCACTTGAGCTTTGTATTTCTACCCTTTTAAAAAAAAAGTTATAGATGGACACAATACCTTTTTATTTATTTATTTATTTATTTTTATATGGTGCTTGCTGAGGATTAAACCCATTGCCTCACACGTGCTAGGCAAGCTGCTCTACCACTGAGCTACAACCCTAGGCACTTTCTACCATATTTTAAAAATCATGATAAATAATTACCAAAGGGTTTATTTCTCCACAAAACAATTGGATTTTATACATTTAAAAATATTCTTGACATGGTTTAATTCACTATACTTGCTTCCTCTTTGTCAGATATCATAATTATTAAACAGATGGTCAACAGCATACTTCTGAGACACACTGCAAGGAAGTCCGTGACCAGTGTTTATCTGAAATAGATACCTTGTTTTTTTAGAACTGTCATCTTCTTTATCCTACCTTTGTATTTGTGTGCCTTTTCTCAGTAATTATTGATTTTTTACCTGCTGCCACACATACATGACAAATGGTATACGTGTCCTTGTGTTATAGTGTAGATCTTAAAGGCCCATGTGTTATTCACTTGGTCCTTAGTCATGGTACTGTTAGGAGGTGGCTGAGTCTTTAAGAGATGGGCTTGGTGGGAAAAAGGATAGTTCATGAGAGGTGTGCCCTTGAAGGGGGATATGGAGATCCATGTCCCTTTTGTTTACAGTTTTTGCTTTCCAGCATCATGAGGTAAGCACTCTGCTCTTCCATGATATGCTGCTCTGCCATAGGCCCAAGCAACAGGGTCAATCAATGGTAGACTAAAGCCTCTTAAGCTCTGAGCTAAAACAAAACTTCTCCTTATTTTTAAGTTCATTATCTCAGATATTTTGTTACAGTAACAGAAAGCTGACTAAATATCTTCTACCTGACTGAGGTGCAATTTCCAAGGCTGGCTATACATACTAAACCCTCCCACTCAAGAAAGTACATTTTGGAATACAAACGAGTGAAAGCGTCATTGAGTCAGTCAGCTTAATAATTATATCATCCAAAAACTTTGGTACCTGTAAGTATAATCAACAAATATCTTAGAACCTAGATCACAAATGATAAACTCATACACTATTGTTATTTCTATACAGTATGAATAGTTGCCTCCAGAACAAAATTTTAGGAAAATAGAAAAGGACAAATTTAAGGTGCTTTTCTTCTTCTAGTGCATCTGATATGGTTCTGATATTGAGCAAATAGTAAGAGAACTAAACATTCTTTTTATGCCTCCCCCTCTTTTTTTTCATTACTCTTGACTGTTAAACAGTTTTCCCTAGAGAGCAGCATTTTTTAAAAACTTTTTTTAGTTGTAAATGGACACAATACCTTTATTTTAATTGTTTATTTTTATGTGGTGTCAGGGATTGAACTCAGTGCCTCATGCATGCTAGGCATTCGCTTTACTACTGAGCCACAATCCCAGTCCCTAGACAGCAGCATATTTTAATGTGAACACTGAAACTTATAAGCAGAAGTTCAGCAGCAAACTACAGGTAAGGTCATGGGCATCTCCATGGATTGATGACACAACCCACAGGGGCTTTGCTTAAGGTTTAAATTAGAGTAAAATGGCCTGAGGCATCTGGTGGTGGGTGTGTGTGTGTGTGTGTGTGTGTGTGTTTGTCTATTTATTGCCTGGATTCTATTTTAGTTCTTGAGTAACTAACCCTATTGTTATCAATGCTCTTCAAGGAATGCCAGGTCCTAGGAAAAAGCAAAAAGGGGATGTAACTCTTCTTTGAGAAACCCCAATACTTCAACAGCTATTATCACTTTTTAAAACTGGATTTGACACTACACACACACACACACACACATTTTTTTTATGTTCCCAGAATAGAACTAATATGAAAACAGAGAAACAGTATAGTTTTATGATCTTCAAAAACACAGCTAGGCATGGTGGCACATGCCTGTAATCCAGAGGATCACAAGTTTCAACTTAGTGAGGCCTTAAGCAACTTAGAGAAACCCTGTCTCAAAATAAATAACAAAACAAACAAACAAAAAAGGGCTGGTTATGGGGCTGGGATTGTGGCTCAGCGGTAGAGCGTTTGCCTAGCACGGGCGGGACCAGGGTTCAATCCTCAGCACCACATAAAAATAAAAGGCATTGGGTTGTGTCCATCTACACCATATATATATATATATATATATATTTATTTATTTTAAAAAGGGCTGGTTATGTGGCTCAGTGGTTAAATGCCCCTGGGTGCAATTCCTTATAGGAAAAACAAACAAAAAAAAACCCCAAACAATAACAACAAAAACATTATAAACATTATAAACATCCAATGACCAATTTAAAGGATTGGTATAATCACAAAATAATTTCATCTAAATTCCAATCTTCAATTTTTATACCTTTATCATAAAAAGTCCACTAATGAAGAAATTACTTTTGCTATATGATATTAAGTGGAGATACCTTTCTTCTATCCCATAATTCTAAATCATGTGGGCAAAGGTTGCAAGTATGATTATAGTTATGAGTAGACAGGGGAAATATATACAAAAATGAAAACAATATCCTGTTTAGGCATATAGGATGAGTGCTTTTATTGTTTTTAACTTTTTTTTTCCCTTGTGGTACTGGGATTAAACCCAGGGCCTCGTGCATGGTAGGAGAGTCCTACCTCTGAGCTATATCCCCAGCTCTTTTTATTTCATTTTGAAACAGAGTCTTGCTGAGTTGTCCACGCTGGCCTTGAACTTGCAACCCTTCTACCTCAGGCTTCCAAGTAGCTGGGATTATAGGCATGTGCCACTGTGCCTGGCTAACAATTCTTTCTGATCTGTTTCACTCATATTTTCTGTATCTAATTCTTTATTCCTTTCATTAAAAAACAAAACAAAACAAAGCAAAACAACAACAACAACAAAACAACAGTAGATTTTGAGGGTACAAATAAACCATTATATTCACGGTCAATAATAACTTTAAAAAGTACTACAGTTTCATTTAAATTAGTAGTGTTTTGTTTATTTTATTCTTTTTGGTTTATATATATATTAAGCCTGTAAAAGAATAAAAAAGATAAGGACGGCTTATCCTGGGATGTGGCTCAGCTGTAGAGCTCTTACTTAGCATGCATAAGGCCCCGGATTTGATCCCCAGCACACACACACACACACACACACAAAAAAAAAAAAGCAGGGGGAGTTGGGTGGGTGTTGAGAGAAAAGGATGATTCTAGTCTCACAGGGTAGGGAAGTATGTATGGAAAGAGCAATCTGAGTCAATGAGGAAGAAGGAAGTTCTATATAATTACACTTTAGATCATATTCTCTGCTGAATTGTATGTACATTGTTTGTTAAAAGTGATCCTAAAAAATCAGAGAAAATAACAGATTATAATAAGAATGTAAAAGTCAAAGCAATAGACTAATTTACACTGAGACTCATCATCATCAAGAGAAGTTTTTCTAAAACTTCTGAACTTCAGATGTCTCAATTTTTAGGGTCTGGAATTAGAAAGGTTCACACATACATTTAAGAAAATGAGTGATGGTGCATGCCTATAACTTCAGCTACTAAGGAGGGTGAGGCAGGAGGATCACAAATTTGAGGCTAACCTGGGCAATTTAAATTTAGCAAGTCCCTATCTCAAAATAAAAAGGACTGGGGATGTAGCTCAGTGGTAGAGAGCTTGCCAAGCATGCATGAGGCCCTGGTTTCAATGCCCAGAACCTAAAAAACAAGAAAATGAGAACATGATAGAGGCTGG